AATCAGAGGAAGAGTAAGGGGACGGCTGAGCCGGGTCCTGGGGCCCACCCTGGAGGGGACCAGCACCTGCTTAGGAGGCCTCTCCTCCAGGCTCTACCCACCCAGAGGGCGGGTCCTCTATCCAGGTTCAGGGGGAAGGGATGCAGCCCCACGCACGGCTCCCAGCCCCGCAGAGGAGTTCCCAGAGGCTGGGGAAGACCAAACGGAGCCAGCTCCCACCTGGCTGTCTCTAAAGCCAGCAGCCTGATAGCTGTCTGTGCCCTGGAAGCCAGGTAAGGGTCGGCAAGCTTTTCAGTAAGAGGCCAGAAAGTAAATATTTCAGACTTTGAAGCGATGTGGTCTCTGTCACAATTAGCAAGAAAGCAGTTACAAACAATTGGTCAAGGAGATGTGGCTGTGTTCCAATTTTATGAACATGGAAACTTGAATTTCATATAATCTTCATGCGTTATGAAATATTATTCTTCTTTTGATTTTTTTCCAACTATTTAAACATGTGAAAAACATTCGTAGCTTGTGGTCTGTGCAAAAACAGGTGGCAGGTGGGGCAAGTTCCAGCTGCCCCCTGTGACCCCCCTGCAGCCTTTCCCCAGGCTACTTATGGGGAAGGGGAGGGGGTAGCCAGGTGCAAGGGGCACCCCTACACCTGGGGGTATCCAGGAAGCAGGGGACCTATGACCCCTGCTCCCAGCTATCCTTAGGACTCGGGCACCCTCTGAGGCCAGTGTAGAAGCTGGTGCCCCAATGCAGACAGGTGACGGAGGGGGTATAGTTCCAAGGGGCTTTCTACCCAGCATGTGGGGTGTACCCCACCCCACCAAGTCATAGATGAGGCAGCTGCTCTCCCAACAAGGAATCTTGGCCCTCTCCTCTCCCTTCCCCTTTTCTCCCTCCCCCTCCCACATCATTCTCCAGCCTGGTGCCACTCACTGATCAAGGCTGGCCCATTTCTTTATTTTCTCTCTGAAGCCTCAGGGGGCCCCTTTCTGCGGGACACTGGAGCTATGACCCTTTGGAGGTGACCCAGAAGAAAAGGGATGCAGGGCTTCGATCCTCCCACTCAGCGTCCCTTCCAAGGACTAGTGGCCTCCCGCATTGAGACTTATGGGGGTCGCTATCGGGCCTCTGCCCAGGGTACTGCCGGCAATCTCTTTGCCCGAGGAAGCCCCGTGCTGGTGAGTCTAGGCTGTGCCCCAAAGGTGTCCATGGTGGGGCAGGTGGGAGGACACCAAAGCCTTCAAATCTCTGTCCCCCACTCTCTTCCCACCCCACACCCCTGCCTTCTTTCCTGGGTTGTGAGGGAGAGGGGGCCATGCTGAGCCAGGCTCCCAGGACTCCACACCCATCCCAGACAGACAGGGCAGGTGAGGCAGAGAGCCAGAGAAATCCAGGCCCTCTGAGGAAGTGCTATTAGACTGGTCAGAGGCGCGGAGCCAGGGAGGGAGAAGGTCACCAAACCCCGGGCTGGCACCTCCCAGCCTCCTGCCTCTGCTTGGGAAGAGCCTGTGAGCTCCCTGAGACCTGCCTCCCTCTGAGTCAGGCCTGGAGGAAGAGCAAAGGTTCAAAGTGTCCCTCCTGCACGGGTGGGACAGGTGGGGGGGCCTGCCTTGGCTCCACCCTGGCTCCACCCTCCTGGCCGGCCTCTAGCGCTGACCAGGGAAAGTGGTGTGGCGGCCCAGCCGTCTCTCCCTCAGCCTCCAGACCTCCCCTCCACTTGGAGGACAGCTCTGCTTCTGGCCGGGGGTGTCCCTGCCTGACAGGAGGAGGATTTGGCCCTGAGAGACAGGGAGGAGAGCTGAGGGCAGGAAGGGAGCCTAGGAGGTATATGGGGTAAATCAGGCCACAGGCAGATCAAGGAATGTGACCAGGCCTGCCCTGGAGGAGACTTCTGGCCTGGCCTCAGCCTCCCACACGAAAGGGCAGCCACTCCCAACTCGGGACACGGCTGCATGCCCCACAGAACGCCCTCAGCACCATGTGCGAGGGAGGCCGTCACAGACGCGGAAGCTGTGAGGGACTCGGCGTGCGTGTGCCCCGGGCACCGTGCCCGCATGGCCGTGGTACAGGGACCGCACACGTGAGCGGGCAGGCACGGGGGCCACACGCAGAGCCCAGGTGTGTGCGTGCCTGGGCTCCTCCTCTGGCCGAGGCCCTGCTTCTACCCCCAGCTCCCTCGGGAAGCCAGGCTGGCGTGCCCCTGCTGGACCCACAGCAGCCTCCCTGGCAGCAGCTGCTATGACTCAGGGCCAGAGCAGCTCACACCAAACTGGTTTGAGGGGAGAGGCCAGCTGGCTCAACTTGCAGGGGTAGGGGATGCTGTCTGGAGCCAAGCCTGGCCCCACTGCCTCTCTGGGACTTCTAGGGGAAGGGAAGCACCCCCTAGAACTGCCCCCTGCTCCTCCTCCAGGATCCCAGTCGCCGACGCCTCCAGGGCTATGCCCCCTTTGCCAAAGGTTGTGGCCCTGCCAGAGGCCTGTCTCCTCTGCGGTTGCGGGAACTGGAGCCCGAGAAAAGGCATGGAGGCCATTTTGGGGCCGGCCCACCTTACTCCCCTAAACTCAAGGTAAGGGGTCCCTCTCCGCCCATCTGCATGTTCCCGGCCTGACCTGCGATGTCCCCCACGGATGGTCAGAGCTGAGAGGATGTGCATTCCCTCCAAGAGGCTGCATTCGGCTCTGTCTAGAGAGCCTGCCTCATAGAAATGTGAGCTTTAGAGGCAAATGCCAAAATATTGCCCAAGACCACTGGTTCCCTAAGGCTCGTCTCCACCTGAAGTTCCCTCTGAAGGGTTCTGTCTCAAGAGAGCCCTGGCAGGTATCTTTCTGATCAGGGAGCCCAGGTCAGACCCCTCTGTCTGTCCAGGGACTTTTCTGCAGGCAAGTGCCTTTCCATCCATGTCCTAGAAACACCCTGTCCCCTGTAATCCCAGCCAGGGTTGTCCCTCGACCCTCAGGCCTGCACATCCCCACTCACACTCAGAGCTCCCATTCCCATTCCCAGACACACACACACACACACACACACACACACACACACACACAACGCACCCTCGCAGCCCTTCCCTGGCCAGGTAGTCTGGACGCCCAGGACATATGTAGCCAGGACGTATCCCCTCTCGATTCCCCAGGAAGTCATGAAGGCCCACGAGCTGGAGGTGAGGCTGCACACGTTCAGCATGTTTGGGATGCCCCGCCTGCCCCCTGAGGACCGGCGGCACTGGGAGATAGGAGAGGCCAGCGACAGCGGCGAGGCCATTGAGAAGTCCTGGAAGGAGCTGGTGCCTGGGCACAAGGTGGGCCTGGAACCCAGTGTCTGCCCTCATGGTGGGACAGGCACACACGTGCATCTCACCTCTGCCTGGAAGAGGGAAAGGTCTTGACAAGTGGGGTCCTGCGGGGAAAGCACTTGGAGGCATCTTGCCCTGGGTTCAGACCCCAGCCCCGCCTCGTACTAGTGAGACCTCTGTCGCCACATCTGTGACATGAGGGCAACACCCCCACACACTGGAGGACTGATTGAGGATCAAAGGCCGTTTATGGAGTAGATCCAGCAGACCAAATGGTGGCAGCCCGTCCTCTTCCCCTTCCCCCGCTGACCCAGCCCTATCCCTGCCAGGACATGAGCCGGGAGCTCTGCCACCAGCAGGAAGCGCTGTGGGAGCTACTGACCACGGAGCTCATCTACGTGCGGAAGCTCAAGATCATGACGGATGTGAGCCTCTCCCGGGCCCCCCAGCCCCAGCCCTGGCCTCTAACCGTCTCCCTTGAATCATCCCCCATTCTTCCGACCAGAAGGGGCAGGGTTGTTGGGGAGGGAGGGGCAGGATACCGAGATCCCCCTGACTTGAGAGCTGCCCAGGGTCTTGTGGGAGAGGTTAGCAGGACTGATGCTGGGGAGGGGGGGTGGAGATGCTGTGAAGGGCCAGGCTGGGGTCAGAGAGGAGGAGGTCAGGTGCTGAGACCCTCCTCTCTCCCTGCACCCAGCTCCTAGCCTCGGGTTTGCTGAACTTGCAGCGAGTGGGGCTGCTGACCGAGGTGAGTGGGCGCTCGGGAGGGGAGGCTGAGCTGCGGGTAGGGTCCCAGAGAGCCCTCCAGGCTGCCCAGAATGAGTTGCCATTGCCCCATTCCCCAGCCCTTCTTGCTCCAGACCCCAAACAGACTGCAGGTCCCTCCCCAGCCCCACCATCCAGGCTTAGCTGTCCTCACCTGTCCACCCATGGCCAGGGCTGCCCAGAGGTCACTTGCCTGCATGTTGCTAAGTTCTGCTCCCTTCTCCAGGTGTCAGTTGAGACCTTGTTTGGAAATGTCCCCAGTCTGATTCGAGCCCACCGGAGCTTTTGGGAAGAGGTGCTGGGGCCTTCCCTGGAGGAAATGCGAGCCTCCGGCCAGCCTCTGGACCCCATCAGCCTGCAAAATGGCTTCCTGATGGTGAGGCGTGGAGAAGGGTCACGTCTGGATGGCGGGACTGGGAGAGCCCAGAGGGTTCCTGTCTGCAGGGCAGGCCCATGTGCCTGGAATCCTGCCGTGATTCAAGGGGTCCAGGGGCACAGCTCCTACCCCAAAATACCACCTTACGTCCTACTGTTCATTCTACCAGTATGAGCTCTGTCCCGAAGGCTCTTTGGCCTTCTGGAGACCCTGGGGTGCAGCAGTCTCTGGGAAAGGCTACGCCTAAGCTCCCATCAGCCATGAAATCTTGCCTGGGACAGAGCCCCAATGACAAGCAGCGGGGTGTCCCCGAGGAAACTGGGGGAAGGAAAGGCCACAGGGGCACCCAGAGCACAAAGTGCAATAGGAGAATGCAAGAGACTTAGGGTCAGACTTCCTCCCAGCACACCTAGGCGCTGGGCCTTGCAGAGCTGTGTTGTGGTAGAGAGGCAGGGGACAGTCTCCTGGGGGCCTTCGGTGGCCCCTTCCCCTGGAGCAGGGCTTCTGAGCAAGCCTGAGTCACCACCCCATGGTGGGGGTGAAATGGGATCTGTAGTGTCCTGAAAACGGTCCAGCTGAATTATTGATGGTGTGTCAAGTCCAGAGGAGCAGGGCGTGGCAGGGGCTGAGGATGGAGCTCAGAGAGCGGTGGCAGGCCTGGATCCCTTGGGATCCCAAGAGGGGGCCTGGAAGTCATGGAGAGTCAGGGTTGGTAGGAGCTGGACTGAGGGTCTGTGCGAGGCTCCATGCCCCATCTGCTCCCCGCCCCGACATCTGTCCCTCCAGTTCAGCCAGCGCTTCCAGCCCTACGTCCTGTACTGCCTGCGGGTGAAGCAGACCATGGCTTACGCCCGGGAGCAGCAAGACAACAACCCTCTCTTCCACACCTTTGTGCAGGTGGGAGAGGGGCTGCCTGGGGAAAAGGGATGCGGCCGACCTTGGTCATCCCAGAGCTCCAGCTGGGTCCAAGGCTGAACGCATCCCTGGGCTGGGGCAGGAGGAAGCTCGCAGCCCCCTGACCCTTGCCCACCTGCCCAGCAGTGGTGTGAGAAGCACAAGCGCTCTGGGAGGCAGATGCTGGGGGACCTGCTCATCAAGCCCCACCAGCGCATCACCAAGTACCCACTGCTGCTCCAGGCTGTGCTCAAGAGGAGCCCCGAGGCCCGCGCCCGGGAGGCCCTGAACGCCATGGTAGGCTGGGGGCTGGGTGCTGGTACCCAGTACGGATCTCCCGGGACTCTTGAGGTCTCTTTCCTCACATGTATGTGACAGCGTGGCCCGGATGTCCCTGACTGGGCGGGATGTGCAGGCGAGGAGCTGAGCTGTCCTCCCTCCACCCCCCACCTCACCTAGATTGCAGCGGTGGAGTCCTTCCTCCGACACATCAACAAGCAGGTGCGCCAGGGCGAGGAGCAGGAGAGCTTGGTGGCTGCAGCCGAGCGCATCGGGCCCTACGAGGTGCTGGAGCCGTCCAGCGAGGAGGTGGAGAAGGTGAGAGGCCAAGGGAAGCGACTCAGAAAGAGCAAAGCCCCCAGAAAGCGGATGAAGCCTAGGCCTGCAGGGGGAGGGTCAGGGCGCCCCAGGGCGTGGCGGAGCTGTGTTCCCACCCTTTCTTCCCAGCGGGGTGGGTCCAAGCCTCAGGGTTCAAAGGAGTAAATGGAGGCACCGGGAAGCTCCCTCTCCCCCAGCGCCCTGATCCTCTGCTCTCTGCGTCCCTCAGAACCTGCGTCCGTTCTCCACCCTGGACCTGACATCCCCTGTGCTGGGGGTCGCTCCCGAGCACACCAGGCAGCTGCTGCTCGAGGGACCTGTGCGTGTGAAGGAGGGACGAGAAGGGAAGGTGAGGGGGCTGTAGAGGAGCGGAGGAGGGGGGAGATGAGCTGGAGAGAAAGGAGGGGGAGATGGAAGGAGACAGGACGAGTCAGAAGGCTGGACATGGGAGAAGAGGTGTGTGTGTGTCTGTGTGCGTCTGTATGTATGTCTGTGTGTGTCTGTGTGTTGAGAAGAGGTCGTGTTTCTGACTAACCTCTGGTTGTCTGTAAGACCCTGAGTCAGCCACTTACCCTGCCTGCAAAGCGAGAGGTGGGACCAGGCTGACAGGGCTCCGCAGCTCTGCCCCGTCCCTGTGTGACGCGGGCCCTGACCCCCGTCCCGCCCGCCCCCCGCGCCAGCTGACCTCCTCTCTCTCCCATGCTCGCCCCCCAGCTGGACGTGTACTTGTTCCTCTTCTCTGATGTGCTCTTGGTGACCAAGCGCCAGCGCAGGGCAGACAAAGCCAAGGTGATCCGCCCGCCCCTCATGCTGGAGAAGCTCGTGTGCCAACCGCTCCGAGACCCTAGTATGTCTCTCCTGGGGGAGCTGTTCTTTCTCCTGTCTGGTCAGCAGGGGAAGGGGAGGTTGGGATGGGGATCACATAAGGTCCAGCCCTGGAAGCCGACCTTCTCCTCCACCCAGGCAGCTTCCTGCTGATCCACCTCACGGAATTCCAGTGCGTCTCCAGCGCCCTCACCGTGCACTGTCCCAGCCCTGCAGACCGGGCCCGGTGGCTGGAGAAGACCCAGCAGGCTCAGGTGTGTGAAACCAGGTGGTGGGGGGATGGCGGCAGCCCCGGAGCTCAGAAACGGGAGCACAAAGAGGGGGAGAGAGGCTCTGGTGTACCTTAACCATCGTAAGAGCATAGAAGAAAGTCTGGCCAGCTGGGGTGCAGGCTGCCAGTCCCGGGGGAGCCAGGGCAGCCACCCCTAAAGGTTTCCAGGCCAAGAAACAGCTGCTGAACTTCACCTTCCATTCAGCAGACTTTAACGGGGCATCTCTGGGCGCAGGCACAGGCTGAGTGCAGAGGAATCAGAGGAGTAAAACACCGCTCTGCCCTCAGGGAACGTGCCCTGCAGCCTGGCCAGAGGAATCAGTGCACAGACAGCAGAAGCGTGTGTGCAGAAGGGCACTGGGACGGAGAAGGGAGTGATGCTCTGTGTCTGGTGGGCTGGGTGGGAAAGGGCCCTGGCAGAGCAGGTGGGGCCTGTGCTGAGAAGACTTCACAGAGGAGCTCCTGTCTGAGCACCACTGGAGGGGGTACCTAGGAGGATGTCAGGGGACCAGGTGGGCAAGAAATGTGTCCCAGATGGAGAGCAGAATGTGTGAAGGCGGGAAGTCGGAAGCAGCTGTGTGTGTTAAGGGAACCGCCAGCCTAGTAGTTGGCGTCACCAAGACTTTCTGCACGAGGGCAGCACAGCCTTGGAGAAACTGGGAGGGAGGTACCCCCAGATCAGGCCCATCTCTGGATGCCTGGCCTGCGAACTTGAACTCTGTCCTGTAAGTGACGCAGAGCCAGTGAAGATGTTAAACAAGGGAGTGATGTGGGTAGATTTCTACAATAAAAGCTGGAGGAGTTCAGAAGAAGGGAGACCCAAATGGGGCTATATTGGTTATTGCTAACTTGGTGTCTAAAAGCGACAAAAACATATTCTCTCATTGTTCTGGAGGCCAGAAGTTGGAAATCAAGGTGTCCGCAGGGCCACGCCTCCCCTCCAAGGACTCGGGGAGAATCCTTCTGCCTTTTCCAACGCCTGGAGGCTCCAGGTGGTCCTTGGCTTGCGACCACATCACACCACTCCCTGCCTCTGTCTTTACGTGATCTTCCGCTGCCTGCCTCTGTGTCCCAGTCTCCCTCTTCTGTCTTTTAGAAAGCCACTAGTCATTAACCCTAAATCCAGGGTCTCATCTTACATCCTAAGCTCCACCACTCAGGCTGTGTGCTCATCTGCAAAGGCCCTTCTTCCAAACAGGTCCCTCCCATTCACAGGTTCTGCAGGTCAGGACTTAGAGCTATCTTTCTGGGGCCACTATTTAACCCGTTAGAGGAGCAGAATGGCCAAGGAAGAGGGGAGATTTGAGCTGGACTTGTAAGGATGGGGAGGACCCTGAACAGAAGAATCAAGGGAGCAGCTGGGCTGGATTTATCTGGGGGACAGTGACTATCTGAGTCTGGAGGGACGGCAGCCAGGGAGCAGAGGCCGAGTTCTGTGGGACCCTGGGGCCTGCAGGAGAGTGTGCGCTGGATGAGACCGAATTGAACTGGGCTGTCAAGTTGACAAGAGAGCCACCGAGCAGAGGAAGGCCATGTGACATCCGTGTGTTTTGTCTTGCACTGTCAGGCGGCCGTGTGACAAGTGGGCTAGGGGAGGGCGGGATTGTTAGCAGGAGATTTACCCTACTAGTCTGGGTGTGAAACACTGAGGTTCGGTGCCCTGGCCTTAGGGATATGGTGCAAAAAAAAGAAGGGAAAAAAAGGAGCAGAAAGGAGCTGAAGGAGAAAGGAGACAAGTGAGCCCTAGAGACTGTCAGAAACATGTACAGGGTGGGATTTCGGCTCAGCTGGTAGAGCGCGTACTGAGCATGTGTGAGGTACTTGGTTTGGTCCCCAGTACCTCCACGTGAAAAAAAAGGGAGAAAAAGAAGCCTGTGCAGAAGGTTCAGACACCAGCTCTCCCTCTTACTAGCTGGGTGACCTTGGGTGAGTGATGTGGCCTCTCTGATCTTCCATTTCTTCACCTGCAAAATGGATACAAATAGTAACAGTGTTTGCTTCATAGGGAGGAAGAAACCATTCAGATTAAGCAGCTAGCATGTTGCCCGCTCTAGACAACTCAGGCCCGCAAGAACAAAGGATGGCTTGCGCCCGACATTGCTGTCTGAAAGACGGCTTTGACTGCTTTGGCAAAGATAGAAATGATTAGAAAGGGAAACCTGTTTGCTTAGTTGTGGCTTGCTAGGTGGGGCATGGCTCGGGCAGTAGGGTTCGTTTTAAACAGAGGCGCTTTGGAAATGAGGGCGTGGGAGACATCAAGTGGAGATCTCTCAGGGGCTTTTGGAAACACGGAGACACAGACTGGGGTTCAGGTGAGAAATAAGGGTGAACTATGAAAGGTGCCAAGAGAATAGATCCTAAAAGTTCTTCTCCCGAGAAAAAAAGATGTTTGTAACAACGTATGGTGACCGAGGTTAACCAGACTTACTGTGGACTGTTTCATCATATATACAAGTATTAAGTCACTATGGTATGCACCTGAAACCAATACAATGTTATACCTCAATTTAGAAAAAGAGAGAAAAGGCATTTTGAACAAGAAATCATAATGTAGAAGATTTCTAAAGAATGCAACTTCACTATTATTAGAATGTAAATCACAGGAGTGGTTCTCACAGGGCCTTAATGACTGGATTATAATAATTTGTTGTTCGCACATGAGGTAGTTAGCGCTTCTGCAACTTCTGAAGATATAAGGAAATAGTCTTGTTCTTTAAATAATTGTAAGCATTTTTTCCCACAATCTTACCTATGATATCATATCATAGTGTGGAGAACTTATTCAAGAAGAGGAAAACCAGAGCTTAGGCTCTGTTTAAATACCGTATTTAAAATTCAGAATAAGAGAGTAAATAATAAATAAGAGAGTTTTGCCATTAAAAAAAATGAAAAGGGGGGAAGGGTATAGCTCAGTGGTAGAGCACATGCTTAGCATGTGCAAAGGTCCTGGGTTCAGTTCTCAGTACTTTCGTTAAAAAAGAAAAGGAAGAAGAATGAAAGGCAGAAACTCAAGATCTTGTGTCCTCCAGGTCTCTGAGGCTGCCACTTCCTTAGATACCTAAACAAGATGGTGACAGTCCCCAGGAAGTTCGAGGTAGGGGGTGGGGTGGGGGTCATCTGCCCTGAGCACTGCTCCAGGCCTACTCAGAGTCCCCTCTCTCCTGCTCCACTCCCCCCAGCCCGGTGTTCACAAGGCAGCTGACACCACACTAGTGATTCCGAGTTGTACTGAAGCCTGGGTAAGAGCGAAGCAGAGGACAAATCTGGAAACAAACCTCGGGGTGCCTGGAGCCCCACTGCCCAGGGCAGCTTACTGGCCAGAAGTCTTTTTTTCTTTATCACCCCCATCGCTGAACTTTCTCCTCTTCTTTTGGTTCTCTCCCTGTGAAGACACCCCGCCTCCCACTTTCGTTTAGAACCCCCAAGGGAACCACTAAAAGTTGCTGGTATTTTATTATGCAAACAAACTTGGCCCCCAGGAGTCTTACTCCAGGCTAAGAGAGGGTGAGGAAGTCATTTCTGATGCGTAACTAAGCAGTGCACAAGCTCCCTGCCTCCCTGGAAAAACAGAGAACCCTGAAACTTTGAAATGAGTTTGTCCTGCTACCACCTCACCCCAGAGTCTTAGGGGATCCCTCTCTCTATCAGCACAAGTCTTTGTAAACTGAAGAGGGCAGCAGAATATCTACTGGTCCCAGGGGCCAGACTGGTTTTCCTCCGCCTTTATAGAGACGTACCCGTAGATTTATTGCTAGCAGGTCTGGCTGCGGCGGCTTAAGCTTTTAGAAAAAATGGGTTTCTCAGGAGGAGAGAGACTGAATCTTGGGAAATGGCCATATTTAAGGGCTAGGAAGAGGAAACGGAACCTTGCCAGGAACAGAAAGCTATCAGAGGCGAGGCCAAGGGATGAACAGAGGAAAGAGGTGGGCTCTGGGGTGCCCAGCCCAGCTCTGTCTGGCTGTCTGTGTTCCTGCAGGAGAAACCTCACCTCTCGCAGCCCAGTCCCATCTAGGGATGCAGGGATAATGGGAACCACCAAACAGGACAGACGGGAGAAGTATGTTTGTAAGCTGCTTGGCACGCAGCCCAGCACTTAATGGGGGCTCCAGAAATGCTTGTTATTGTGATCTTTAGAAGGGGGTAGCCCGCGGTGCCTAGGTGATGATGCCTGCTTGGTGCCGACTTGTCACTCAGGGAGTCCAAGGGCAGCTTCAAGAGGGTTTTGGTCCAGGATGGGGGGCTTGGGGAGGAAAGCAGGTGAATCTGGGAGCCGCTCCAGCGGCAGTGGGGAAGGGAGGCATTCCCTCTCAAGGCTTCAGTTCCCCACCGGGGCAAAGGAGGTTGAACCCCACGTGGGGGAGCCCTCCCTCTTCCCGGCTTTGTGGAGGTGTCACATTCCAGCCCAGGCACCAATTTCCTCTTCCTTTCCCACCCTGCCCCCAACACGTCTCTCCGCTTACCCAAGCTGAGAAGTTTTCCCAGGGTTGCCGGAGAGCCTTAGGGGTGGCCGAGGGCACTTCAGACAGCCTCGTCCAGGTACCTGAGGTGTCCTGTTCCTCAGCTCCACCCTGCCCCCTTGCCTCCCTGCTTCTTCCCCAGGTGGGGTCACGGGCAAGTTTAGTGGAGATGCTGGTGTCAGACGTTCCTTCCAGACCAACCCCTCCCTCCCAGTTCTTTTTCTCCACATACCCTCTGTATCCTGGGCATCCCAAACATAAAATTGAACTTAGGTCATGTGGGGCCAAAGGGCATCTCAGTAGGACAAGCAGGCTGCCCTAGCCCTGCCCTGGACCCAAGAACAGCTCCTCCCACCCTCCTCTTCTGTGGTTCCTCCCCGCACTCCACACAGCTGGGGGATGTGGAAGAGGTCACAGGACCTGGTCTGGTGTGCTGGGCTCCTGTCCCTGGGCATCATCATCCCTGGCTCTGGCCAACAGGCCAAGTCTTATGAGACTGCTAAGAATCCTTGCATGAGACGGAGTGACCGGGAAGCCAGGGCAAGGAGAACTGGAAATCCAAGCCTGATGTCATTCTGCTGTCCCTGTACATCCATTTTGCCAACATGTCTCTTGTCCAGACCCAGCTACCTCCCCACCTTGTGTTTCTGGAGAGGCTTTGGGAAGGTCTAGGCGCCTAAGAGTTGCTGGTCCATATACCTCAAAGGGGAGGGGAGGAATATTCAAATCACTTAATGAGCAGAGTGGCATGGGCATCACCAGTCCGAGCAGAGCTAGAGGTCCCCTGCTGCGCCAGATATCATCCCTCTGCTGCTGCATCCTGAGGGAGGGCTGAGTGGTCCCAGGGACGGAAGGTGGGAGGCTCAGGCAGTAGCCCTTTGCTTCCCAGCACGGAAGTAGTTCAGTATTTCCACAGCGATATGGCCATTCCGGCAAGTGCTGCTATCGGCGCTGCCCACAGCAGCCAACACTAACTCTTTTTGCCAAGCCTCTGCCTGCAGCCTCTCCACGGGATCTGCTGCCGTCCCTCCCCACCCCCAAGAGAAAGCTGTCCCTTGGTAATTCTCGTTCCTTTAAAGCTGCCCTTAAAAAAAATTTAAAAAATAAAATAAAGCTGCCCTTGAAAAGCAGTGCAGCCACTGAACTAGGACTCACAGGGAAAGGCCCAGTCCTGGCTCTGCTTCTCTCTACCTGTGCGACCTGGACCAAGTCCACTCAGCTCTCGAAGTCTTGTTTTCTCACCTGTAAAATGGGCTAATACCCATGCTTTCCACCCTGCAGGTGCTGGTGTGTATCAAATGACCGCATACAGAGGTGCTTTATAAACCTCTTCTCAGATGTCACTCTTTTATTCTGCTGGTGCCTCTATGAAAATGCTAAGGAAGACAGACAATAACGTATTCCTTCTCCACTCTTCTTGGAACGGTCTTGCTCTCACCTCTGAAGGACAGCAGAGTCCTCAGCCCAGGATAAAGCCTGCCCCAGCCCACCCTGGTGGTAGGAGAAAGAGTAACCCGAGGACCCAGCCCCATTCAGAGCTCTTATGCCACTGTCAGAGCTCATATGCCCTTCAAGGAGGGCTTCCTGAAGGAGGGAACAGGCCAGACAGAGGGCTTGCTAAGGAGGCGTGAAGTCAGGAGAAACTGTACAGGTAGAAAACGAGGCTTTCTGTTCACCCCAGGACCAGCTCAGGAGTTCAGATCCTGGCTCTGCCCCTTTCCTATGGCATCAGCTTGGCATTTACTTTACCTGAGTCTCTATTTCTCAGGAATAAAGTGGGAGCAAAAAAGTCTGCCTCATAGAGTGGTTGTGAAGATGAAGCAAGATTATATATGCAAAGCACTTAGCATGGTGCCTGGTATACAGCAGGTGCTCAATAAATGAGAGCTTTTAATGAAAGTATCTCCACCCTAGGTCACCCTGCAGAAGCTGAAGGCAGAGGAATACATCCAACAGAAGAGGGAGCTCCTGGCCCTCTATCGGGACGGGGATAGGGAGTCCCCAGGAACCAGGCCCTCCACACCGTCCCCTCCTTCCCCACCTTCCCCGGAGGGCTCTCAAAGCAGCGTGGAGGAGAGGTAAGACCCCCAGGGAGCACAAGGTCTCCCAAAGTAGGGGGGCTGCAGGCAGGGAGGGAGGGAAGAGGAACCCACAAGGCTGGGAAATGGCAATACAGCTTTAGGGGGGATTAGGACTAGTTTGAGGGACCCAGGCTACAGGTTGGAGCAGAACAGGTTGGCACGAGCCGTGTGAAGGGCCGCATGGGATTAGCCAGCCTAAGGTTGGCACAGGGTGAGGGGAACACACAAAAGGCACACATTCCTGAGAAGAACAGGCCCCCCAGGCCAGGGGCGGAGAGTGAAGTGCAGTTTTGCAGAATGTCAGAGCTGCAGGGACCGGACTAGTTCAAATCCCCGGAGTGTGTGGGAGGTTCATCCAGACTAACATAGCTGTTGAACTGCATGGTTAAGGAGGAAAAAAGAATCCATCACTGGGGGGTAACCTCAGGGGAGCTCAGGAAGCACTCAGCAAATAGTTGATACAAGGTTCTGGACCAAGTGCAGGGGCTAAAATGCCTTTCAGGGGCTTACAGTCTAGCCAGTGAGATGAGAAAAGCTGTTAGTGCAGCAAAAAGGTGATAACAAAATAAGCTTGGAGGAGGGGCCATTTCTGGATGGAGTGATCAAGGAAGACTCCCTGGTCTTGAACTTGACTGTTCAGCATCTGACTCTGACCATCCGCTATTAATTGTAGGATTCCCGAGGGCTCGACTGCCATCCCCCACCTAGTGGTGACAGAAGACACAGATGAAGATGCTCCCTCAGTACCAGATGACACATCGGACTCTGGCTATGGCACTCTGGTCCCAGGCTCTCCCAAGGCGTCCCACTCCCCGCTGAGCCGTCTCCGCTCAAGGGCCCTTCGGCGAGACCCTCGCCTCACCTTCTCCACTCTGGACCTCCGAGATGTTCCTTTGCGACCCCAGCCTCCTGACCCCCAAGCTCCCCAACGCCGAAGCGCCCCTGAACTGCCAGGGCAAGTTATCCAGAAAGGAGGCAGCCTTCCCAGAAGAGACCCACCAAGCTGGTCTGAGGAAGAAGACAGGACCTCGGCGGGAGGGAACGTGGTAGTGGAAACCTTGCACAGGGCCCGACTTCGTGGGCAGCTCCCCCACTCCCCGACCCACACTGACTCTGCTGGGGAAAGCCCCTGGGAATCCTCCGGGGATGAGGAAGAAGAGGGATCTCTCTTCCTGGGACCCAGCTACAACCCCTCTCGCCACCGTCTCCGGGCTGAGGACATGCTCAGAGAGATCCGAGAGGAACTGGCCAGCCAACGGATTGAGGGTGTCCCCGAGCCTGGCGACAGCAGGCCTCGGAAGCTGACTCGGGTCCAACTGCAGAGGATGCGTGGGCCTCACATCATACACCTGGACACACCCCTGTCCACATCGTAAGTGCGGAGGGGATGCTGGCATGGGAGGTAGCAGCGGGGAGGCCAGGATGGAGCAGTAGGGGTGCCAGAGCAGGAGGCCAGTGGAGAGGCGGATCAGTATAGGAGGGCAGGACTAGAGGGGCCTCTAGCCTCACTCCACTCCATTTCTGAGTGCCTGACCCCTGCCTCTTTCCTTTTCAGAGAGGTGTGAGGACCACTAAAGACCCTCGGCATTTCTCCCAGAGGAAATCTCTCCCTAAGAGTGTTGGTCACCATCTTCACCTCTGGACTCTACCTCAAGGACACTTCCCTGGGCACTCTGCCCTTCCTATTCTGAGGACTTTGGGGATCAAGAGCTGTACATTTGTATATCATAGACACACCACAGCCCCACATAAAGTTGTGCATAAAAATGGCCGCCCAGCCCATGCTACGTGAAGGTAGAGGAAAAAGAAGTGGGGGCAGGGGGTGGGGGGTCACAGAGTGAGCTCAGGCAACAAATCATGTCAGTGCCCTTCATGGTGGCAGGGTATCTCTCCCATCAGGATCTTGTACTCTGGACCCATCCCTCACACCCACCACTCAGAAAGACCACTTCCTCCAAGAGGAGCGCTTTAACTGGAGAGTTTTAGTGTATTTACAAAAGAACACAGCTCCCGGCAGGAGGCCGCATGGTTCTGTGCCTCCCCTGTCTTGGGACAGTTCATCTTACTCTGTGCTTGTTCAGGCAGGGGACAAAGGGTGCCAGGTTTCTATTAGTGTACATACTGGATAAAAAGATTGCTTATCTACTGTGAAACAGGCTCAGGGACCAACAAGGGGCTGCCAAGCAGCCTTGCTGGGTTCTCCAAGTCCAAAGTGGGCAATGAGGCATGGCGCCCCTCTTCCCTGCAACCACGGCCTTGGGCTCCTGGCACACTCAGCCTTTCTCGCGAGGACACTCTCCCCCCACCCCATATTACACACACACACACAACTCAGCCTTTCTCGCGAGGACACTCCCCCCCATTACACACACACACACAACTCAGCTTTCTTCACGAGGACACTCCCTCCCCATATTACACACACACACACACACACACACACAA